TTTCACTCCCGTTTGATTTTAAAACCTTTTTTCGAAAGTTCATGCGGGATTTAAAGGATTCTTTATTTCTATATGGTACCTACAACAACATGTATGTCTGTCTTTTGACCGGGCCTCTCTAACGAAAAATGGCTTGCAGTTTTCAAATGACCTTTGAGACATTTTAATTTCAAGAAATTCGGAAATAAAATCAAGGTAAACTTCAGTTTGAGTTTTTTCAAGGATATGCACTGGATGACATGTGTATGTTTTTGGTCCTAATCTTTCTCGTTTGATAGCTGACTTAATTATTCCCTGTAGGTCGGGACACACCTGGACGTACCCAAACGTCGTATGCAAGTTGTTTTGTTTCATTTGGAAGTGCATCAGACCGTGTTTTTCTAGATGTGTAGGTCCAACAGGATTTTTCTGATTTCAACACAGTTGTTCGAATTCTGTTTCCTATGCTTATGCGTCGAATGGGTAATCCAAGTGTTTTCGCAAGACTTTTTCGGTATCTGCTCTGGGTCATTTGTTCCCCATTGACAGAGGCAATGAGCAGGTCCAGTCCAAAAGACTAATTCTACCTACGTAGCTATTGATAGCGCATTTAAAGCTACTTCAAGTGGCTGTTTTTACCTACTTTTTGCTTTACACGCTTTTCATGGTAAAACGCGGGAACGGCTTAACATACATGGTCGGTATATAATTTCTTGATATAGTTTCATTGAAGATGACAACTGCAATATAAATGGCTTAAAATGATTACTTTATCCATTCCAGTGAAATGTAGCGCCTTGTTTCGTATTGGATATTGCCAACTGCAGACTTTCAAACGAATACTGGTTAAAATAACACCACATACATGTATTTTTCATATTTTCCGTGCAAATATTTCTGTACATACCTCAGTGCATATTTTCTTCGACTGGTTACCGAATATCCCTCAGTGATTTTAACTCTCTGATCCGGAATTGGTCGGATCATCACCTTTGACGCTAAAATCTATGGAAGAATGTCATTGTCATAAAAACAATTAATTTTAGGTAAAATACAATATTTTATAACAATTTGTTCAAAATATATTTAAAGTAAGTGTCACTCTAATACAGAAATAACCATGATAAAACTAGAAATAATAATATTAGGCCTAATTGGGAAGAGAATTGTAAGGGAGGGGGTGCTATTATAAGAAGAATGACGTTTACTAGTAATTGCATTTATTTTGCACTCTCGTTCAAAACAGGAAAGTCAAAAGTATGTTGTCAAAAAAAGTGGATACAACCCTGGAAAAAATGTTGCCGGGGAGACGAAGAGGGATGAGCCCCCAACTGGTCCACAGAGACAGAAGTATGAAGAGAACACCAACAAAAGAAAACAAGTCCTCTATCAACGAAAGCACACTCTCTCTAAAAAAGTAGAAACTAAATCTTTTCGGCTACCTGAGTAACTCAGATGACCTATTGCTATCCGTTTTCGTCCGTCGTCGTCCGTCGTGTGGTAACATTTGAACATTTTCAGCTTCTTCTCTGAAACCACTGAACCAATTTCAACCAAATTTGGTATACAGCATCTATGGGTGAAGGGGAATATAAATTGTGAATTTCATGCTCCCTGTCATCCTGGGGCCTGGGGTGGAGCCAAAACCACTAAAATTATTGCAATCTTTAAAAATCTTCTTCTTTACTTTTGGACATCAAGCTGGCAAACTGTTGGCATGAATGTATTGCACATTGAGTCCTCTACCAAAATTGTGAAATTCATGGCCCCAGGGTCAGGGGTTCTAGTGCTAGGGTAGGGCTATATAGATTATATAGTGAAAATGCATTATTTCTTTAAAAATCTTCTTCTCTGCCCCTGGGTATTAAATAAACTAACTAAGTACATAGTTATGATGAGCAAGAGTACCTCTTCCAAAATTGTGAATTTTGTGGCCCCAGGGTCAGGGGTTCTGGTGTTAGGGCGGGACTCTATTGATTATATATAGTGAAAATGCATTTATTCTTTGAAAATCTTCTTCTCTGCTTCTGAGTATCAAATTAACCAACTAAGCACAAAGTTATGATGAGCAATAGTGCCTCTTCTAAAATTGTGAATTTTATGGCCCCAGGGTCAGGGGTTCTAGTGCTAGGGAGGGGCTATATAGATTATATACTGAAAATGCATTATTTCTTTGAAAATCTTCTTCTCTGCTCCTGGGTATTAAATAAACTAACTAAGTACATAGTTATGATGAGCAAGAGTGCCTCTTCCAAAGTTGTGAATTTTATGGCCCCCGGCCAGGGGTTCTGGTGTTAGGGCGGGGCTCTATTGATCATATAGTGAAAATGCATTTATTCTTTGAAAATCTTCTCTGATTCTGGGTATTAAATAAATTAACTTAGTACATAGTTATGATGAGCAAGAGTGCCTCTTCCAATATTGTGAATTTTATGACCCCAGGGTCAGGGGTTCTAGTATTAGGACGGGGCTCTATTGATTATATAATGAAAATACATGTATTGTTTGAAAATCTTCTCTGCTTCTGGGTATTAAATAAACTAACTAAGCACATAGTTATGATAAGCTAGAGTGTCTCTTCCAAAATTGTGAATTTTATGGCCCCAGGGTCAGGGGTTCTGGTGTTAGGGCGGGGCTTTATTTATTATATAGTGAAAATACATTAATTCACTGAAAATCTTTTCCTTTGCTCCTGGTTTTAATGCCAATGATCCAAGCATATCTATATATATGATGAAGAAAGGTGCATCTAGCAAAATGGTTATTTTTTATGCCGGGTCGAAGGGGGGGGGGGGGTAGTTACATAGTCTGAAAATAAATTAATGCTTTGAAATCTGCTCTTTGGTATTAATCAACCATTTTATGATAAAATTTGCAAAATTTTGAAATATATGACCCCAGGTTCAGTGGTTCCTTTGGGGTGAGGTGCAAAACTGGTTATAAAGTGCAAGTGCATTTTCTCTTTGTTACTCTGATCAACCTCTGGGTATTATGTAAGTAGAGTAAGCATGCTAAGTTTATAATTATGATAAGAAATGGTGCCTCTTTCAAAATTGTGAATTTCATGGCTTCTGGTTTAAAACACGAAACAAAGTTAATTGTTTGAAAGTTGTTACACAATACTCAGGTGACCTATAAGGCCCGTGGGCCTCTTGTTCTTATTAATTATGTCTACCTTCTTCATCTGAATTTAAACATTCAGAATACTCCAGATGTTCGGTCACTTAATATATATCTTTGTAAAAACTGATGAGAAGAGACTTCTTCTCGTTTTTCACAGCCTTCCATTTCTTGTTATATTTTTCACCTGCAATAAAGAAAATGCAGTGCAATACATATATATAAATGCATGAAAAGAAGAATTCGAATATAATAGTTTTGACATGTGCTACCATGCAACAGAGAAATTAATGCAGGGCTATTTTTCTAGATTCGGGGGCAGAGGTGTTAATAATTGCTACCTTACTGAAAAGCTGTAAATTCTATGATTTTTTTCCCCTTGAAAAGCAATAAATCTATACAATTTCAATAATTTTATGCAATACTCTTAGGAAATCTTGGGGAAAATGAATAAGCCTAAAATTTCATGTTATTTATGCCAACAAAACATGGTTTTACAGTCTTCTTTATGAAATGCAAAATAAAAAAAAAATTATAAACATATACCTAAATCCAAATCTTCTTTGAGAAGTCTGTTGAGAAAAGTGTGAACCATTTCTTTAAGTTGTATATTTGATTTATTTTCGATTGATTGATCAATTCATTGTATGTTGTTTAACGTCCCTCTCGAGAATTTATCACTCATATGGAGACGACACCACTTGCCGGTGGAGGGCTACAAATTTTGTCCTATTTTCGGCACTTAGGGCCTTTGAGCAGGGAGGGATCTTTATCGTGCCAGCAGCTACTGCGACACGGGGCCTCCGTTTATACAGTCTCATACGAAGGATCGGTCTCCACGTCCCACATTGGGATTCGAACTCGCGACGTAAGGATTGACTCCTTACTTCGCGACTCTAGAGCAAATTTATTTTTGATGGCCTTGGAATTTTTTCTGTCAGTTGGTAAAATGGAGATGGGTTCTAAAGTTCTGGAATTCATGCTGTTGTTTGAAAGCTGTTATGTAAGGAATCTATTTCGGTTTGTTTTGCATTTCAGTGAAAAATTAATAAGATCGCGATCGGTGTCTAGAATCCTGTTGTCAAGGGTAGAATGATTTCGGGGATGTGCGGGAGAAAGTAGATATTCAGATTCCCGTAACTTTACTCCCCATTGTGTGATTTCATTCAATAACTCTGTATGGTACACCTCGTTTGCATCTTCCTTTATGCAGAAGGCAGTGTTCAAATTTTTCCGGATCTGCATAAAATTAAAAAAAAGTGTAAATCTATGATACGAACACATGCATATATGTAGAGGGTTAAAACGTTTTTAGAGAAGGGTTGGGATCAATTTACATGGAATATGTGAGACGTCAAATTCATTTTTCTTTCAAGATAAAAATATATTTATTTACAAATTTCTCAAGATTAACAAAAATTAATTCCACTTTGGGTCGAGTGAGGGGGGGGGGGGGGGGGGAGAAGACACTTACCTTAGTCAAATCTCCTAAGAAATATGACTGAACAGTTTTAATGGGGTTCCATGTTTCAAGCGGAGTTTGAAAATGTGTAATACAAAATCGAGTGACTTCTATCTAATTAAAATTAGATCCTTTACGCTCCTGTATTTTGTTATGTCGCTGTACAGCGACTATCAGAATTTCGGAGCGTAACAAAGATCTGATTTTAATCGGATTGAAGTGATTTAAATGAAAATTATTTAGTTGCATGTACTTTTTCAAGGCAGAAGAGTTGCAATAACTAAGGCTGATGTGCTTGTTCTTGTGCGCACCGAGTCGGGGCGCCTCTTTCATATAGGGACTAGGTGCCTTCCAGGTTCTACCGTTGGTAATTTTGTTACACACATACAGTAACAGTTGGTTGCTTGGGACCTTATGCTGATTATAAGTTGCCTGTGGTTACTATATATAACATTTTTTGACAATTAAATTAGGAACGAGTTTTGGTGAATATTGGTGAAAACTTAACCAAACGTTGCCATGTGTTGCAAATAGCACAAAACTGTTGCAAATGGGCGAAATTTGTTGCAAATAGCTCCAAAAAATAATGTTCCAGATGTGAATATGGAACCAGAAAAATTAGCATTAAAATGCGTTTGTTCTTGTTTACAAACGCAAATGCAACAAAATTATTCTGTGCTCTTAAATCATTTTGGTACCAGAAGTTTAATTATTCCTCATCTTTTTCGCGAGAGAAGAGTTGTTACACGTGTTAAAAACTATACTTCAGTCACAGTACCACGCTATTTACCTGACGAATTTCGTAGTAATTTCAGGCTTACCAGACAATCGTTTGATGAACTTACGGCTAGAGTAGGTGTTTGCAATGTATACAATACACAGAGGGGGCCTGCAGTTGACCCTGTAAAAGATCTGCTCATGTTCCTTTGGTTCATTGGTATGTAAAGATTGTAAACTGCAATTAAATAATGATCTTGATTTGTTCAAAGAAGATCATATTCTAACATACATTTGTATTTTTCCGTTAGGAAATACAGAGAGCTTTAGATATATGTCGGACAGATTTAATGTGGGCAAAAGCTCATATCATCGCAGTATTAACAGGGTAGCAAAAGCTCTGGTTGAAGAAGTCATGCCCAATGTGATACAGTGGCCGACTGGAAACAGAATACGCGAAACAAGCGAGGCATTCGGAGATATAGCAGGGATGTTAAATGTAGTAGGCGCAGTTGATGGTTCCCAAATACCAATAAAAGCACCCACAGAGAATCCCAACTCATATTATAATCGGAAAAAGTTTCATTCCTTGGTTTTATTAGCTTCATGCAATGCAGATCTGCTTTTTACATATGTCTGGACTGGGAATCCTGGGAGTACTCACGATGCTACTGTACTTAGATCTTCCGAGTTGTTCCAACAAGCAGAAAACCTTATTCCAAGAGGGTACTACATTCTGGGTGATTCAGCTTTTCCACTTTTAAGTTGGATGGTAACGCCATTCAGAGATTATGGAAATTTATCCAGAGACCAACGCCTATTCAATACATGTCATTGGAAAACTAGACAAGTCATTGAGAGATGCTTTGGGCTCTTGAAATCCAGATTCCGTCGTCTGTTGCGTTTTGACGGTTCAGATATGAAACTAATGGTCTACTCTATTCTTTCTGCCTGTGTGTTGCACAATTTGTGTGTGAATATGAACGAAGAAGGCTTTGAATGCGAAGATGAGGGGGACAATGATTGTAACAATGGCGATTATACACAAAGTGGATTCCAGATGGATGGCGTTCGTTTAAGAAATCATATTATGCACCATCTCGTGCAAATACATTAAACATTTGAACCACGAAAGTGAAAAAAACTGGAATAAATCAATCGCATGTGATCCACATCTCTTATACCTGTATTATCAAATTATGTAACTATCATGATTCAGAGGCAATCATTCATTCACAAATTTTGAATAAAAACCACATAAAGATGCCTCTATTTAGGTATGAGTTTCAGAGTCGGAATATATATTTCAGTATGGAATCTTTTACCTATTTTAATTTCATTAAATTTCTTATCCATATTGCTGTCTCTGTTGTCTTATGCAGGTCATAATCACAGGAGGTCGCAAATTTTTATAACGTATTTTTTTAATTTACTAATGGTAAAGTTGATAGGTATGCGAACTCCTGTTGTTATAATTAAGAACCCCGAGAATTTTATGCATGTATACGTAGGTCTCACCCCAGCTCTTTAAATGAAAATACATAGGTTTCTAAAGAAAATCAATTATTATAGAGGATGGTCTAGTTGAACAATGTACTTGGAAAGGGGGGAGTTAATTCATTAATTTATATGTTTTGCTAGAGGGAGCGTACTTAGGGATTCCAAAACTAAGTTATTTTGTAACTAATTTTGTAACGTATTTATTGCATGAATTTATTTCATGATTGAAAGATCATTACATTCATTGTAAGCCATTTAAAGACATTAAAACTTGTTACAGCTTTTTAAGAATTTTCTCCAAAATTTCATTCTGTTTCTTCTGCATAGCTTCAAGAGTTTTCATAAGTTCAGTATCTCTTTCTTTCAGAAAATCTTTTAATTCATCGGATTTCGTGACTTTCTTTTTTTTTCTTGGGGGTCTCTGTTTTCCCGGGCTCTTCATCAGAAGAGTTGGCATCAGTAGGATCTGCCTTTTAACTCAGAGAACCATACTTGCAGACTGGTTGGAATGTTGGATCGTCTTTCAGAATTTCCTGCATTTCACGTTCGAGGAGAAAAGGTTTGGGTGTTTTGTTTCCTGACTTCTGGCAGTCTGATGTGTATTTTCTATATTTTCTCTTAATTAAGGGTGTAAAACCGTGTCCCTGGTCTGCTCACTTGTTATCTGTATCTTTTCCGAAGTACTTAAAGAAGCCGCAATTTTGTCCCATACTTTCTTCTTGTTTCGAGTAACCTGCATCATTTTGATGTTTTCTTTGTAAATAGAGAGCAGCTTCTTACTTCTATAAAGCCCCCACTCGAGCCTTCCCTTTGTTTCCGTATCATCTGAGTCTTCTGGGTCCTCTGGTATATAGTTGTGAGGGGGGTCTTGTTTTGAATTGGCAACATTAGAGATCTCCCCACTTGTTCCTGGTGCTTCACTATTTTCTCTTGTAACTTGACCTCCACTAGTACTAGGTTCTTCATTGCCAGGTGTTAAGTTTAGATACTTCTTAGTAAAGCTCTCTACATTATTGAGGTACTGTAATATGTTTCCATCCGTGTCCTCATTTTCCGTAGCATAATGTTCAAGGGCCTTCACAAAGTTATCGTGATCTGAAAAAGGAAAATCTTTAGTAAGTCTGTTTGTTTGTTTTAGAATACTACAGTACTGAAGTCTGTCGCACTCATGGAAATGTAGTCTTGTTCCATTCGTGAAAATATGAAATATGCTGTCGCCTTCGTGAAAATTGTTTTCATTACTATTCAGATACAAAATTTGTAAGACTAGGGACTAAGGAAATACAATAATTAGATTTTATATTGGTAAATACACCATGAAAATCTTATTTAAAAAAAATATTTAATCATTATTAGTACGTTATGCTTGCCTACAAAACATCATGTCGAGAGATTTATGTTTCAGAAAATAAATATGCCCTAAATATTAGAATTCGATATATACGAGGCCTAGGGCTATCAAAAAGTTTGTGGACTAGCGCCATAAAATTAAAACCGCTTTAGGTACATCAATGAATTTTTTTTAATATTTAGATATCATCATCTTTTCTATCCATAGAATAAACTACAAATCATAAATGTTATTTTTAAATAAATTAGTAAAGTTTTTGTAAGCAATGGTTTGTCCAGGCGGCGCAACCTCGAAAACGACGTTTTTTTCGACCTACGTGTAACTAACACAAACTATTGTGATATGAACATTTGACATCCAAAAATCCCGTTAATTCAGGCATATGTTCTTGTTCCATAAAATATGGAATTTTTACCTCATTCTGAAAATATGAAATTTTATTGTAAATTTTACATGTATCCAAACAAATATTGCCTTGAAAATGACGTGAAAATTGTTTTCATTAGGAAATGTTTAAACAGATACAAAATTACTTGTTTTATAATGCCAAAATAGATTCAGAGAGAAAAGGGATGCAAAGTTTATGTCGATTTGTAGTCAAGGTTTGAAAAAATACAAAAAATAATTAGATATTTATATTGGCACAATACACCAATGTTTAAATCCATTTGCAATGATATTTGCTTTGAAAAAAATATTGTAAAGTCATAAAAACAAGATTATTAGCTACATGGAATCTCATCAAAATAAGTGTACGAGGTAGAAGAAGCGGACATTGAAAAATAATGACGTCTGGGATGTCATGAAACTAAGCGGCGACGGCGCCGGGTGATCATATAATGTCGTTTTCATTTTATAATATTCATTTTGGAAAATAATGAACGCATCGAGCCTAGATTTTAAACATTTCTTTATTTTTTGTTGCTTTATATTCCTTATAAATTTTGTAAGCTCAGACAACATAGTACTAATTTCATAGCCTCAGTCCACGAACTTTTTGATAAAACCTCGTAACTTTTTGGTCTGAAAAAGTTAAGATAAAACACCACGCAGATCTATTGACTATAAATAAACTAAAAGACATGTTTTGCTTTCTGAGCAGAGTATTGCGAGTTACCATCAAGCCTAAAACAACTTTTATATTGACTTAGTGTATTTTTTTTATCTATATTTAATGATTCGGAGAACGAGTCCGTATCAGCCACGCGTCCGATTCTTATTCATAAGAGATGAAAAGAATCGGACACTTGGATCGCGGAAATATGTTTAAAATAATGTACTTACTGTCAGATATGAAGCTGACTGTTTCAGCAAATAATTTCTTTCAGCGCCGTTTACAATCAGTTTAAGGGAAACATGTCCTCGCACAACCCAAACATGGATTGACCCGCCATTTTTACTTTTTGTATGACGTCATTCACCAATCCTACCCACACTCTAGATTGTCTGCAAGATTGGTGACCTACATCTTAATGTGAAAGAAGATTATTGGCTAACCATAGTAAAAATTTGTTACCAATGTTAACAATTTTTTACCTGTGGTAAGAAAGTGTAACAAGTTACCAATGGTGAAACCTGGAATGCACCTACTGTAAGTCTCGTTTAGCATCACTTTTGGTGATGCATTGCCGGTGACAAACATGGCTATATCAATACAATATTGGGCCAGTTATACAGCCGAAAAACCGAAATTAATGAGAAAGTCAGAGAACGCCGTTATTAGCAACCATGTGCTAAAATTTTTATTTGATCAAGAGACTAAAACGATCCATTCGGTGGTACAAGCTTCGACGAGGAACACATCATATAAAGTCACGGTAAGGGTCAAGGTTGTGTACATTTTCGTGAACATCTCTAACAATATTAGACATTATCTTCTCCCTCGTGTCACATATATATACATATATATATATATATTTTCTTGACTAATTTATTAAAAACATACAAAAACAATATACTGTAGGATTGTTGCGTTCGTTACAAATCGCATATTTATTCAAGTGATACAATTCAAATGCATAAATTTTACTAAATAAACAATGAAAGGGCTGGGTGGGCAGGGAAAGCCAAAGACACAAAACAACCTGCGATTCTTTGTAACGAACGTCGCATTAATCGAACATTCCCCGGTAAATGTATGAGATACATTTAACATATTATTAAGCATAAAAAGTCTAATGACCTGATGATTGATCGAGTTTATTTACATGTTTTTCATTCAGGAGCCAGAGGGCTAAAATGATACTTAAATACACCATGAGATATACATTCACAGATACAAATGTGTTAGCAAGACTGACATAAAGTGTGGATGGTTGAAGAACCCAAAAACTTCAATTAAAAAAGACATGAAAACAATGGAAGAATTGTTTCCACCTGCACGCCCGGATTACTGGTTAGTATCTACCGGGGTATATTTTAAATATTTTTCTCAGTGAGGCAATATGTATTTTCTTTTATTTATAGTTATTCATATATTTGCAATTTCTGAATTATTCATTAACTGTATTAATTTAAAAAAATATATCAATCATTAAAAATACATAAATCAGTCGTAAAAAAAATTTGCTTCATATTTGAAGTACTTTAAACCGCCCCTTTGATGAAAGTGATTGGTGTTTTTTGCACCAAGAGTTAGCAAAGCTTGGAAGGTTTATTGGTAAAATATAAGGGGGAAATTATGATTTTGGTGTTACTGTTGTTGTTATTTGTTTTATTTGATTTTTACATTAAGAGTATTATAAAACTGTTAATTTGTTACTGACCGTTGGTTGATTTTCATTGTAAACAAATGTACAAAGATGAGGAGCATAATATTGTTGGCTATGTATATTGTCCAGTTTTTGAACATACAATGTAATAAATATTAATAACAATCTTTGAATAATTGGAAAGGCAAGATTATAAATATGATAGTATTTTTGTACATGAGTATACATTTCTGACAGGAAAAAATTCATTCAATTGCATTTAAAAAAAATAACTTGTTTCATATTCTAGCAAAATTATCAGATCATTCTTCTATTATTCTAATACTAGAATATGTCATTATGAAACATTGATTAATAATTTAGTAAATGTTAATTGTACATTTGCACCAATTTTTCCATGACACTTTCACACTAAGAATGCCACATGCAATTTTTTAGCTCTACTGGTCAGAGACCAGAAGAGCTTATGCGATAGTAATGCGTCCGTCGTCCGTCCGTCTGTCCGTCTGTCTGTCTGTCTGTCCGTCTGTCCGTCTGTCTGTAAACAATTTTTCAAAATGCTACTCCTCCTACAGTTTTGGTATAATTTCAATATAACTTTAGACTACACTAAGATACATAATTCTGTGTATCGGTTTTTGATTTCAATGAACGGTGTTGCCGTGGTCATAAAATAGAAATTTCTGTGAAATTCTTTCAAAACGCTACTCCTCCTACAAAAATATATCAGTATAACTTGGCACACAAGTAGACTACACTAAATACATA